CATTTCATGAATTTCTTTTTCAATTTTAGAGCATTGTGTAGATGATAAATTCATGTGTATAGCTAATGGTATATTGACGACTTAGCAAAATTCATACCAAATTTGGTTATCACTTTAATCAAAAAAGACTATTGATTAATATTCATCCTATTATCAATCATATTCCTTTGAATAACCATGCCAAGAATTTTTCTTGTCTCTCCTAAATCTTTTGTGTCAAATTTCGATTTTAAAAACTTCTTCATCTTTATGATTTTAGCTTTACAAAAGCTAACAAGCAACATATCATCTACATATAATAATGAATAAATCTCACGGCCTATATTAGAGTTATTAAAAAATAAACATGCATCAAATTCACTGATTTTAAAACCAATTTTAAGGACATAAGCATAAAATATTTTATATCATTGCCTAGAACTCTGCTTAAGACCATATAAGGACTTTCTAAACAAGCACACAAGTTGGGATTTTCCCTTACCTCGAGCCCTTGAGGTTGAGACGTGTAAATTAATTCATCCAACTTTCCATGAAGAAAAGTCTCTTAACATCTAGTTGCTCGAACTCCTAATCATATTGAATAACTAAGGCTAAGACTAACCTAATAGTTTTATATTTAATGATCGGTGAGAACACCTCGTTATAGTCCATCCCCTTTCTCTAATAAATCCCTTTTTTGCAACCAACCTAATTTTATATGTTAAAGGGTTTTTAGGTCTTACTCATTCTTTCAACTTGTAGGTCCATGTAAAATGGGTTACTTTTTTATCCTTAGTTTTTCAACCAACTTCCAAGTTTCATTTTTGTTTGAAGACTGGATCTCATCTCTCATAGCCTTTTTCCAATTTTTATAATTATTAATCGCTTCCTCAAATAAAGCTGATTCAACTGAATCCAAGGCTTTACCTGAAACTAAGAAAAATTCAATTAAATTTAAAGAGATGTATTCCAAATTAGGCCTCACTTGTCCTCTATCTCCATTTCTTACTAACAGATAATCATTTGAATTAGTATCTATAGATGTTTCTTGATTAAGGACAACACTTTCAGAAATTTCAAGTTCATGTTATTCTATCACTACTTCTTAATTGGATTCTTCTTGAGGTTGGATTTCACTATCCTCTAGATTATCATCTAATCTCTTCAATCTCTTCACCTCAAACTCCATTTTCTTTCCAATAAAAGATTCTCCTTTCTCAGTCTGTTTGATATGATTGACTATATTTTTAAGACAAGGCATATTGAGTTCAATGAAATTTACATCTACTATTAATAATCTTAATGCTTTCACACCTAAAACCCACAATCTATATCCTTTCACTCCCTCTGGATAACCTAACATGACATGCTTAGTAGCCCTAAAATCTAATTTAGCCACAACCTGATGTAGATAAGCCTCACAACTAAACACTTTAATGTGTGACAAGTCAAGGATTTTTCCATATTACAACTCTTGGGGAGTCTTGAAGTTAACATAACTAAAAGGTGACATATTTATCAAATAGGCAGCAGCACATATGACGTTACCCCAAAAACCTCTAGATAATCCCAAACTAATCATCATACGTTTGAATTTATCCATAAAAGTCCAATTCATCATCTTCGCCACCCTATTTTGTTGGGAGTATGTCTCACAATCGTGTGCCTCATTATATTGTTTCCCTTGTAGAAACTATCAAATTCAAAGTTGTAAAACTCTAAACCATTGTCCATCCTAAGAGTTTTTACATCCTTTTCCATTTGATTTTCAACTAAGATAAGCTAAGACTTAAACTTACTAAAAGTTCCAAATTTTAAATTTAAGGTGATACACCCAAACTTTTCTTAAGTGGTCATCAACAATGGAGCAAAAAAAAAAATCTGTTACCTCCACGTGTGGGATATTTTTCTGAACCTCACAAATCTGCATGAACGTAGTCCAGTGGTCTATTAGTACTATATTTACCTATCCCAAAGCTAACATTGTGTGACTTTCCTAGAACACACGTATCATGAAAGCTCAAAGGTGCGAAATTATCATTACCAAGTAAATTCTGGTCACTAAAATATTTCAACACCTTGTTCCCAGTGTGTCATATCCTCCTATGCCAAAGGTTTAATCTATCTTCACAGACTAAAGATAATGCTTCCTCTTTGCTATCTAAGGCTTTACCTTTAAGGACATATAACCCATTCCTCTGGGACCTTTCATAACCACTAGAAACAATCTTTAAAGTACCAACATGAGATTTGAACTCATAACCCTCTTCTTCTAGAGTGTCTAAGGAAATAAGATTCCTTACTAGACCCGAGACATACCTAACAGCTCTAATGTGTCTGATAATGCCATCGTGCATCATAATAGCAATATCTCCAACTTCTTCCACATTGTGTGTACGGTCGTCCTCTAAGTATATTTTTCTAGGATTCACATATTTGTAATTATAGAACCAAGTCTTAACAAGACACATGAACAGTGGCGCCTGAGTATAAAATCCACTTAGTGTTAAAATCAATATTAAAAATATTCATGACATGTATGTTATCACATGCACCATCTATATCAGTGTCAAAATCTCTTAACACAGTTAAAAAATGTAAACAATCAAGAAAATCACCTACACCAATTAAGTTTTCATCATCACTCTGTCGTGGTCTCTATTTCTTCTTAACGTCATTACATTCTCTTTTGAAATGCCCTAACTTGCCACAGTGGAAGCATTTTTTACCACTCTTATCTTTAGACTAAGACTTACCCTTTGATTTTTCCCTACCATTCTTGCCTTGAAATTATTCTTCCTTCGTCTCATTCCATCCTCTAATATGCAACTCTCTTTTCTCGAGCTAAGCTCTAGCTCACTAGCTCTAAAAGCATCAGTCACACTATCTTGGGTCAAAGTGTCCCTACCATACGTGATAATATTCCTAACATATATAGATTTCGGGCGTAGCATTTAAAAGTATAACTGCTAGATAATTATCATCAAATTTCTTATCATTGTGAGCCAAATACTTGACAAGTCTGTTAAAGTAGATTCAAAATCCTCCCCCAAAGAAAAGTTTTTGAAACAGATGTATTTGTTTGGAAGGGATTTTTCCAACAATAGCTAGTCAAATGCTTCCCACAACTCTTTAATAGTCTTATCTTGTTCAACTTATCCTAACACATCATTAGATAAATGCAATACAATCAAACTATGTTCAATTTCGTTCATCTCAGCATTCTCATCCGATTTAGCTTTTAACACATCAGGACATTTTTTTGGTCGTCAAGAGCTTTAGAAAATCTTCGTTAAATTAAAGTATCTTTCATTTTTTACTTTCAAATAGAATAATCTCCTTTATCATTGACTTGCGACAATTCAATTTGAGAGGCTATGGTAGCAAACAATGGCTTTAGAAAAAGTTTTACGCAAATGATTTACCCACACACAAATGCAAGCTTAAACCAATGTATATCACAAGAAGTAATACATAGTCAATATCACAAGAGTCAATATCAATATAGTAGCTAACAACAAAATCTTACAATTGTAAATTCGAGAGGGTGTTAAAATGCACAAATCGAGCGAACCAATATATCGGTTCATATTTTAAGGAAAGATAGGAGTCTTTATCGATCCAGGACCACTATTCACTGTCCTAAGTCATCCTGCATTTGTAGCAACCCTCAAAAACACCACCGAGCTGCCAAGGAAAAAGCTTTATCCTTTTCACCTTTCTGGCCGATGTTATATCTACTTTCAGCATGTACCAAACTAAAATCCAACATCCCTAGGAGGTCAAAATTTGCTGAAGGAACAAACTATCTTTTTTCACCATCGTCAAATTTCTTCGTATGCACCTTAACGCGTGCCCTCTTTTCGCTGTGCGAGTGCTCACGAGCAGTCTCCACAGCTATGCGTGTCTCACACATTGCACCGGCGGCTTTCACTCATCATATGAAGTCTGGTAGTGGTCCCATTCATCCACCAGGTTAGCAGATCCTTCAAAAATGGGTTTAAAGCCATGGGTAAACTTGTTTTCGACCAAACTTGAACCTCTTCGACTTCCAATCCAATTTTCAAGTTGTTTTAACACTTTCTCTTACCAGCCGAAGCTTTTATACTATTTGTAGAGTTTATAATGTAGTATCCAATGATTATTACAAGTACAATGCAGAAAATAAATTCTCAAAGTGTACAAAACCCGAACCATCTTACTCAAATCTTCTTTAGCCTCTCCATCAATGTGTTTTGTGATGTTGAGCTCGAATTTTTACCATATCAAATCATGCACCATCGTTCACCAAAATGACAATGGATATACCGAGAGAATAATCCACTAGATGCTATTGATAATTTAGTTGGATATGTGAACCTCTTGCACTTGGTTCCCGCTTTATGCTTTCTCTCTTTGTTTTGCCAAGTCCAAGCGAAACAAATGAATACACATATAATTATAGATCCAATATCATTTGAATTCAAAATTCAATATTAGTGACAAGTGATATGACTAGATGTAGAAAGTGACCACAAGATTATTAATTTACATCTAGTAGAGAATAATCCACTAGATGTATTAATTTTCATTGTATTGTCTACAACTATATCAAACTAGCACAATCCTTACCAAGCACTCAAGACCAATAATCATGCGTCAAGTGGATTTAAGTGATCCATCTCGTATGTTTATTAATGAAAATTAATACATGTTTAAAAAAAAATTATATTCTCCCAAAGTTTGGGTCTTTCTAGGACACCCAGGTAGAAGAAAAAATGGAATTGATATAATTTTTAATGGATAGAAAAATGCTTGCTGTAATGAAGATTTTGCATTCAACGTAAGCACTGGAACTTACTGAGGTGCCTCTTTAAATAGAAAAAAATACAGTGAAACTAAAAAAACTACATTGCACAAAAATCTCTAAGATTCAAAATTTAAACTAATCTGATATGTTGCATCGTTCTTCAATCTGATATGCTATTTCTCATGCCAGATATATTGCATCTCGTTGGATAAACATTTTAAGTTTGAACTAGTCATCCTTGGTTTCTTTTATCACTCAACACACTACCAGTATATGAACATGTGGCTTTATCACTTTGAATGTGAGGATCTTCTTCCTTATCTCTCCATGATTGTAGGGACTCCTTGTAACTCCTTTTATTCTGACAAAGATTTGTATTGCCAGCCTGTAAAGTGTTGCCAATACAGGTGATCATTAGTTGGCCATAATCACATTCCTTTGGCATTTTTCAGTATAAGCAAGGCTTTTGGTCAAGGTATTTATCTAATTTTGGCTGACTTGACATAGTCTATAGTGATTATACCATTTGAAACTAATTGTCTTATCGAGCTATGTCTGAATCCAATGTGTATAGCCTTTTTATTGTATATATGGTCATAAGGTTTAGACAATGTAGCTTCACTAAAGCAATGAATTTCTTAGCAATTCCCCTCTCTTATTACATGAAGCAAGGGCTATGAACTTAGCTGCCATGGTGGAGTTCACAATGACATGTTTACTTAAAAACATTTTCCATGTCCCTTCAAGCTATTTAATTTCCTTGTGGATTTATTTCTCTTCGCTAAGAAGAATGATTTCGTGCTGAATATGATATTGCAAGCTTTTGATATGATCAATAAACTTTCCTCTACGAACATACAACCAATTCCCTTTCTTTGCAACAAGTAAAATGCTAGTTGCTAGGTGCTCCTAATGGAGGCGAAGAGAAGGGTTCGATTAACTGTACTTCTAGGGGTTATCTTGATGAAGTTTTGGAGGAAAAATAACTGGTCAACATAATATTAGAGCAAATCTAAAAGCCACCCATTTCATTAAATCGTATAAGTGTAAGGATTTGATTAGAAATAAAAAAACAAATAATAATAATAATAATAATAATAATAATAATAATAATAATAATAATAATAATAATAATAATACTCCGGCGTAAACTTGAGCATCTTTAAATCAGGTGATGATAAAAATGTAATCTTTTTAACAGTTTAAATTTTTAAATCAATTGGTTCAATTCACAATTCACAATTCACAATATTCAATACTTAACATTGTAAAATAACTCATACCTTTTCTTTTCTTTTTGGCTTGGCGTGTTAAGTCCAGTCTATCGTTTATAGTATAAAAATTTTACAGTTTCAACAAATGAAATGATGACGAAGTCATATAATTGATGATACAATATTCATGTATGGGTATGAAACTTGTAAACCCCAAGAAATCGGTTTTGAGGCCACTAAAAGCTCTAATAAATATGTCGGAAAGAAAATAAAATACTATGAATTAGAAACGAAACATATAGATAAGCTGTGGCTTATCGATTTCTATTCTAGCTATTTCTGCTAAGGCCATTAGGAGGAGGCATTTTATCAATTTCTATTCTAGCTAATTCTGCTAAGGCAATTATTGGATCAACGGTGACTTATCGTAATAGAAAATCAACTCGTATTTTTAAATCATCTTGTATATGTCTATCTGGACCTACCTCCTGTGGCTCACGGTCTGCTCAAGTTATGTGATCCAGACCTCATTCTTTGACGTTTTTCTTTTTAACATTTCTACAGTGTATTCACCGTTCTGCTAAAGTTATTCGATCCGAACTTCACTGTTCGACTTATTCATTTTCATATTTCTACAGTGTGATAATGACAGATAAAATGCGCGATTCCTTCAATAGGTATGATAAAACCTAAACAATCCCTACTTCATAATTAAAAGAACTCTATTTATTTGCCGTCCTTATCTCTTAGGACTCGTAGTAAGATCCAATACCAAGAACCAAACTCGATGTACAAATTTCAAACCGATAGGTTTACAATTATCCCCACATAAATAAATAGACAAAGTCATAAAAGGGATAGATCAAAAATCTTTTCTAGGAAAATGCCAAATTGTCACGTGAAAATGGGACAAGATACAAGAGAATGTCCTTCTGTGAATATGCCTCCCTTATCGACACAAATAATGGGCATGTTGTCTTGGTATTAACTTCATCTGGATAATGAAATGAATTTGCATGTGGTAGTGTCTATCGAGGGAAAAACTCATGATGCATGCAACATGTACAAACCACTATTGTGAAAGAATTCTACAACCGTCGACCCACACATTGATTGGAAAAGATAAAACAGAACATTACAATAGTAAGATTTTAGTTTTTAGAATTGTTCTGAAAATAGGTAAAAAAAGATTCAACTTCATAGTTATGAAAGTTAACACAATGACGTGTTGGGATATAAGGAATTTTCTTAATTTAAATCTAACCTTTTTTCTTTTTGTTGATTTATTCAACTAAAGACTTTTGTAAAAATGGCATGTATGTGTCGTTTAATAAGTTATTTGGTAGACGTCTAGTTTTCTAGTTAAGATTTTCCACTTCTACAATTTTGTGCAAGTGGCGAAAAATTTGAAGTCGAACTTGTTTGAATGATATAGGGAACTTATTCTTTTTTTTTTTTGTCGGGGTTCTCGTGACATGAGGAATTATGAATTGATAATATTAGAATAAAATAGTTGAACAATGTGATAGTTTTTTCAATAATTTTTATTTTATATATCACGACTAAAGTAGAATACATATTTATACTTATACAAAACTGAAAAGTAATATAAAATCATAAAAAAAATTATGTCAAGGGCATATTTGATAGAATTTATTTAGGAAAAATGAGTTATTGAATAGTATTTTTTTTATTTTTTTGAAAGAATGTGTGCTTAAAAAATAAAATTTTTGTATCGATATGCATGTAGAATATTTTATTGTGTGAATGTGTAGTGAAAAATGAGACTGTAACAAACAATTTAAATTTTTAAAGGATGACAAATAAGGGCATACTATCACATTTAAATAGAATTAGTTATCAAAGATGCAAAAATCTTGAAGATCGTGAAAATGTTATCACGTCTTTTAACAATGAATTGTATTTTGATCAAGCCTAAGTTAAATTAAATTAAATAATTCAAAAAAAAAAATATCATGCATGTGTATTCTTCAATCCGGTTTAATACCATACTAAATAGGTATTAAAAAAATTAGAAACTAGCGAAACATTTTAAAAGATTTTGAAAATATTCTACATCCTTAATAATATTATCACATTTTCAATGTAACATGTTCATAACATTAAAATCAATATGTAAGCACAAAATATATAATTTAAAAAATCTTGATAATATTTTACATACTTAATAATATTATCATATTTTCAATGTAACATGTTCAGTAAATTAATATGCACAAGTGCAATGTCCTGTTTATTTTTGTTCAATTAATCATTCTAAAATGTGTTAGAGAAAAGATTATATTTAAAAATTGGCAAATTGGTAAATATGTCACACCTTATTTTTTATTTTATTTATTTCAGTATCATTTCTGTTGTCTCCATGACTATAGGGACCTTTCAAAGAATAACACTTAAATTGATTACTCATGAATCTTAATGAAGGAACATCGAACATGTCACATATGCGTCGTCGTTATAGGACTAGTCAGTAGTTAGTATGGATTGAATAATCATATAATTATCACTTTTTCGAATTTATTAGCCAAATATAGTGATTATAATCTATTTTTACAAAATATAGTGCTCTTGAAATATTTACAAATTATAAGTCATTTTCAACTTCCAATTAATGGGTTTAAACCAATTAGGCATGGCAATGGGACGTGAAGGCAATTACCATCCCGTTGCAATCCCATGGATTTTAAAAAAGTAGGGTGGGCGCAAGCTATAGTAGGGCAAGGATTAAAAAAATATGTATTTACCACTCTGTTTAATTTATTAATTAATGTTTTATTTTTAAAATATGATCTAACTTTAGAAAACATATAAAAATTAAACAAATTAAACAATACGGGATGGGTTTGAAAAATTCGAGACGAAGACCATGATCCTAATCCTTATCCCGTTTACCATTCAAGGCGAGGATCTCCCCATCTCATTCGGATCAGACAAATTAAGTCGAGCCGAGCCAGCTCGTGAATCCAAGCTCGAGACTCAGTATTAGCTCGTCAAAAAAATGTTTGAGCTTTTTGAGCTCTAGCCAAGCTCAGGCTTGACTCATCCCCAAAAGACAGGCCTTGGCCCTTGCTTTGGCTCGAGCCGACTCATGGGCTTTTAGATTATTTTAATCGAAAATACAAATAAATCATCAATTTACTAACTACAGAATTAATTTAAAAACCCGACCATACGGGCCCACATACATATCGGCCCATATTTGACCTCTTGCGGCTGGTGGGCTGACTTCGGCCATATCTCATTTTTGAGGCTTCGATCGAGCCTTGACTCATAC